TTGTTGAGATGCAAATGGACTTTAAATTTCCTGGACTTTGCAAATTTCAGTTTAGCTGGAATTTAAAAAGAGTTTTTTAAAAAATTCAGTCATTTATAAAATTATTCACTTGGTAGTTAAACAAAACCCCACAAAACCCTAACTTTGCCTAATAACAAAGCAAAATCATTATGTAAACAGAGTGGCAATCTCATCCAGGAACTGTCACATAAATGTCATACTATCCAAAAAGAAATGTGTATGATTATACATACACTGTAATTGAAAACGGTATAATACATTAGTAGAGCTGCCCATTTATCTAACTCTAATCAGTTTCAATAAAATCTCATTTAGAAAAGTTGAGCGCAGTTCAGGCTGGCTGGTGATGAGGGTATCAGTCATGTGAAGAGTATCCTGGGCACTACTTTAGAAGGAAAATAGGGGGAAAACCTATGTGGAAAATGATGGTTGCTCACTAAAGGAAGGAAGGAAGGAAGGAAGGATAGATAGACAGACAGACAGATAGATAGATGTGATTAACAAACAGAGCTAAAAAAAATACAAAGTGAGCAAAAAGTAAGGCTTGCATCTTCTCCCATTCCTAGAGGTAAATCTGAGGTTGCCATCTGCACTGCAGAAATAATGCAGTTGGACACCACTTTAACTGTCATGGCTCAATGCTATGGTATTCTGGGATGTGTAGTTTTGTGAGATGTTCGGCTCCGTTTTGATGAGATGCTCAACTGAGATGCTCAGTTTTGGGAGAGACCTCTGGTCTCTACAAAATATCTCACAAAACTACAAATCCCAGGATTCTGTTAGATGGAGCCCTGGCAGTTATAAAGCAGCATCAAATGTCATTTGTTCTGAAGTGTAGATGCAGTCCTACTCTACGAAAGCTTCTGTTACAAAGTTTTTCACACAGTTAGTCTCAAAAGTGCTACAAGATCCCTTTGCAAGCTGAATAAACAGCTGAATGCACAGCCAAATGTGTAACTAAACGCACAAGGAAATGTGCATCCCAATGCACAACTGAATGCACAACCAAATATGCTGCTGAATGCACAACTGAATGCACAATCAATGCGCAACACAACTGAAAACTCAACTGAATGCAGCACCAAATGTGCATCCGAATGCACAACTGAATCCACGTCCAGATGTTCTGTGGCACTGTATGCACAACTCCATTTCTGCCACCTTGAACTGAATGTAGGTGACCCCATTGCACAAAAATGTCCCACCACTTCTTCAAGGGAACTTGCACATGTGCAAGACACCAACTGAGCATGAAAGTTAGACAACAGAGCATGAACGTTAGCATTCTACAAGCTATTGTATTGCCCATCATCATGTACAGACATGGGAGCTGGACAGTGACAGAAGTGGACAAGAAGAAAATTAATTCATTTGAGATGGGGTGCTAGAGAAGAATGCTGAGGACACCATGGATGGCCAAAAAGATGAAGAAGTGGGTCCTGGAATAGATCAAAGTCTGAACTCTCCCTGGAAGCTGACTAAACTGAGGCTGTCGTACTTTGGACACATCATGAGAAGGCAGGACTCATTGGAAAAGACAATAATGCTAGGAAAGGTGGAAGGAAGTAGAAAGAGAGGAAGACCACATACTAGATGGATGGACTCTATGAAGGAGGTCATGGGTATGAGTTTGCAGGACCTGAGCTGAGTAGTGGAGGACAGAAGGTCTTGGAGATGTCTCAATCACAGGTTCACCATGAGTTGGGATCAACTCAAAGGCAGTTTTAACAACAACAAAGACAACAACAGGATCCTGACCTTCTCCTTGCCTCACCTTCTCAATAAACCATCATGCACCATTTCCATTACTTTATCGCTCCTTCCAAAACCCCGAACAGTGAAAAGTCCTATGGAGGGATTAAAAACTTGGGCTCAGGCCTAGGCGTTGGAGTCCATAAAAGCAAGAAACGTTGGCTGCTTTCCAGGACTTGGGCTGGTCCGCTGCCAGCTCTTTTAATGAATATCTGTAATTTAGTTCTTATTTTCTTACCCTCTTTATTAAACACCTCCCAGCTCCATCTCGCCTAATATTTGAACCAGCGAGTTTAATGACCATCCCTTCATTAAACATTACAAGCTTTTTAAGACCTTGGCAAAGAGTTGCATCTCTTTCAATAACTTAGGACTGCGGCTACAAAGTCAACAGTGACTGCTAAACTAATCCCTGGCGCTGGCTAATTATTACGGTTGGTTCTTGGGGCGAGAAGATAGGAAATGATGGGGAAATGTGTGTAGGTGTGTGCGTGTTTCCTCCTCCTTGCACTTTCCACCCAGGATTTTGCACACCGGTGGAATTTCTTGTGCATTGACACTAGATGTCAGAGAAGGGTAATTGTGGCCTCGATTTTGGGCAGCAAAGAGCATCCTCGGTTAGCGTTTTATGGCAAAGGTGAAGTATAGCTGGATGCAAAGGGGAGACATATATTACAATAAAGCAACGGTAGGGTTGTCTAGTGTTTTTAAAGGCAGCCATAAAAGATGAATAATGGGGCAGTTTAAAGCTAAAAGACAGCTGCCACGCTCAGTGGCCATGATGGATGTCTAAACACCCAGTGTGGAGAAAACCTGTTCCCCGGAGACCACCATCCAAAAAATTAATTACTACGATTCAGCATCTTTAAATGTGCCACTTAATATACTGCCACCATAATTAAATTTCCAGCCCTGTGACCTTGAGACCATTTCCTCGGATAATAAACGAGATCAAGGATTAATCGATGGGGATAGGCGGCAGAAACTGTCCAAGGAAAGCGCAAAACCGTCCCAGGAACGCTCAAGGTCAGGTAAGGAAGGGGAGGAAAGGTATAGGAAAGGAGCTGGGGATTCTGGTGCTGATGGTTTTCTTCTTCCCTCTCACTCTCCTGCCTACTCCCTCTTGTAGATTTTAATCTGCAATATTTGCAAAACAATAATTCTATCATAAGATTGGAGCATTTTAGGGCTAGACACAAAGCTATAGCCGGGGAAAGGATGGATTTCTCTTTCTTCTTTGGTGGCCATGATTCTTTTAAAACTAAGCATACACTAAATCCCAATCTTCCTCTATCGTTTGTGAGAGTATGTCTAAATCTCGCATCTCCATTAATTTTTGCAACCAATCTATTGTCGGTATTTGACAAGACTTCCATTTTTGTCCATATAACAGCCTGGCTGCGGTTACCATATATAATAGCAGTTTCCAATATTTCTTTTCACTTTTTTTATCTAATACAGATGTTATATTTACCAAATATATTTCTGATCTCATAAAAAAAGAATCCTTACAATTTTCATAATTGTCCCAGGAATCATTTTCCAATATTCTCTAGCCTTTTTACAGTTCCATCACACGTGAAAGTAATATCCATCTTTTTCTTTACATTTCCGACATCCTGTATTTAATTTTTTATAAATTCAGTCCCTAAGGCAATTCTATCCTGGGGTTTTCTTGGCAAGATTTGTTTAGAGGAGGTTTGCTATTCCTTGAGGCTGAGAGTGTGTGACTTGCCCAAAGTCACCCAGTGGGTTTCCATGGCCGAGTGGGGATTCGAACCTTGGTCTCCAGAGTCATAGTCCAATGCTCAAACCACTATACTATGCTGACTTCCCTTCAGTGTAGTGTAAATATCCACATACAGACCTGCACTAGGCTGATCCATATACGCTTCTCCTGACTTTCTGTAAAGGCCTTGAAGACATCTCACCTGGCCATTAAGTACTTCTGCACTGCAGAAATAATCCAGTTTGACACCACTTTAACTGCCATGGCTCATTGCTATGGAATCCTGGGATATGTAGTTTGTTGTGGCCCCAACGCTTTTAGACAGAGAAGGCTAAGTATCTCTCAAAACTGCAAATCCCAGCATCCATAGCATTGAGCCACGGCAGTTAAAGTGGTGTCAAACAGCATTACTTTTGTAGCGCAGATGCAGATGTGGCAAGCAGACAAGATTGGAGACGTTTCCAGCTTCTGAAGACCCTAAGGCAAACATTTCATGGGGTTTTCTTGGCAAGATTTGTTCAGAGGGGGTTTGCCTTTGCCTTCCTCTGAGGCTGAGAGAGTGTGACTTGCCCAAGGTCACCCGGTGGTTTTCCATGGCTGAGCAGAGATGCAAACCCTGGTCTCCAGAGTCATAGTCCAACATTTAAAATGCTACACCACGTTGGTTCATAGCTACATCCCCAGAATTAGGTTTCCCCATTCTTCCTTAAACCCAAAAGAAAATGAGCTTGGATATTTTGGTTTGTTTCTATCCTTTATTTGTGGAGGCTCACCAGAAACAGCTTAATAGTCACAGGATGTGAACATCATAGGTGAATTTGGTTTGCCTACCTTGTTCATGTTGAGCAGCAGAATTAAACACACAAGGCCAGCTGCAAATGGAGGGGACAAGAGATAAAACAAACGAGGTGGAAATTGGATCGGTAAAAAGGCAGTGACTC